GTGTGTGTGTGTGTGTGTGTGTGTGTGTGTACAGTGTGTGTGTGTGTGTGTGTGTGTGTGTACAGCACCTGAGAGTTCTGCAGACTTCCAAAGGCAGAGGTGCCGTGCTGTTTTCTCTTTGCTCACCTTAATCACAGTCTGTAAGCTTCCACCGCGAACAGAAGCTCCAGGGCCCTCCAAGCCCCTGGTGGCCTCTGGAATTTCTGCATCACCAAAGCTGTCATCTCCCCGTGCGTGGGTGGCAGAATGAGCTCCTCCTATTACTCAGCTCCGACTTCTCACTATTAAGCAGGGCTCCTTGAGGAAGATTGATTTACTGCATTAAATGAGCCTCCGTGTGCTCGATGACGATGTCACAAGACAAACGGCCCCTGCCGTGTGCCTCCAGTCCTCGGCTCCACGTTTCCATTTGAGCCAGAGTCATGGTGGATGAGTTTGGTATAGTTTATTTTCTGCCTGACACGATAAACTTGTCAGCGTTTGACCGATCAGCTCCTTGTATGAGGGAGTTCATTTGCAAGGCCACCTGGCATCCCCACTCGGCTGTCCTGCTCCCATTTCACTCTGTCTAATGAGCCAGGACCTGGTTCCTGTTGGTTGGCCCTGAGCTCCAGGGCCCTGCACAGCCAGCATGCCAGGAGTGATGGCTCAGCCTTCCCATGAGTCCCCTCTCCTGTCTGGAAGGGGGCGGGCACTGATGCCTGGGAAGCGATCCTTTTTTCCTGCCCAGCTGGGGAGGAGTGAGCCAAGCCTTCACTTTCCTACTCACAGGCTCTGTCAGGCTGCTCCCAGTCCTCTGGCTGGACCCCCTGGGGCTCCTGGGGAGCTGCAGCCTTCCCATGCCACCTTGGCCGTGGAGCTGCTCCTAGGTTTAGGCACCAAGGTTTGGGCAGACACCAGACCCGAGTTCTCAGAGATCACTGAGACATGGCAAACAGGTCCAAGGTGGGCAGCATTAGGGCCACTCATGGCCCTTGTCTGGCTCCAGTGTCGTGCCCTTCCTAAGGGCCCTTCCCAAGCTGTTGGCAACCTAGACTCTCTCTGACCACATCAGCCTCTGCCCAGACCTGCCAGTGGCTCCCTGCTGTGCTCCTCTGGGCCTCACTGTGAGTAGGGATGATAGCAGTGCCTGCTCAATGTTCACCTGTATGAGAGCTCTGATTGATGCCTGGCACAGAGCAGGAGCTCAGCAAGGTTAGCTAACAACACCTGCCAGCTTCACCCATACCCTGCACGTGTTCAACCCTTCCAGCCCTCAGAGCCTGTTCTCATACAGTTGTCCCCTTCCTGACAAGCTTCTCCTTCCTCTCTGTGTATCTGAATCTGCCCCAGGCCTTCTCATGCTCTGAAGTCATTAGCCAGCCTGGGAGCCCAAAGGAACCCCAGAACAGCACGTGGTGCAGGACCAGACAACATGGTAACTGGTCAGGCCACCTACTGGAGCAGAGATGGGTAGAGCTTCGAGCCGTGCAAAGTGTCATGAATCCCTTCCCATTTCCTTCCCGCTCCTCACTCCCCCGGGAAGCTCCATGCCCCCCAGGGTAGTGGTTTTCTGACCCCCCAGCAGCCATGGCCTTTCCTCTGGGCTCCCTCTCTGAACTGTGCACACAGATCTCACCCTTACCTGCTCATACACTATCAAGTCCATTGACAGCAATAGACATTGCCTGCCTGAGCTTGGGGCCCAGACCTCACCCTCTGCAAGCTCATCGATGGGGGAGGGGACCAGTTCAGAGCTCCTGGGGCTGGACTGGCTGTGCCTGCTTGAGGCATGGATGTCTGGGGCAGGATGCACTTTGGGGTCACGTGCTGTGTGGTAGTAGACAGTTGTGTAGAGGGAATTGGACCGGCCCTGTGTGAGGCTGGCCTGGTGACAGAGCCTGGGCTCCTCATCTGCACTGAGCAGGTGGCACCAGGTGTGAGGCATCCTGGAGGGCGGGAAGTCTGTCTGGGCTTCTCTCCCTGTGCCAGGACACAGGCCAGCGCTATTAGAGGACTGGGAGCTGAGAGGGTTCCACAAGCGTGGCTTCGATAGGCAGCTCGGGAGAAGGACGCCCGTCCGGAGAAAGCCTGTGCAGTGGTGAGGAGACATGTGTGCACAGGGGTCTAGGGTGTGGCAGGAGGCTGGTGTGCGGTGCATGCGAAGAGCAAGGGGATGTGAGCCCTGAGGGCAGCAGAGGTAGCTCTGGACCCAGGCGTTGTGTTTAGGAGTTTGGATTCTCCCTGGTGGGCAGGAGGAGCTGTGCCAGGTTGAGGGTGACACGATGACTCCACCACACTTGCGCAGCGGGAAGGCAGGGCCACGGGCCTCATTCATCTTTAGCTCCTCAGCTTGGTGTTCAGGAGATTGAGGAGGAGAGCCTGAGGCCACGTGGAAGGTGATGAGTCATCCTGGCCCCAAGGGAACAGGGGCATCCTGAAAGCACGGTGCTCCCCAGACCCTCTTTATTCTAGGAGGGAGGGTGGATGGCAGAGGGCGGCTGGTCACCCTCCTCCCCAGAGTGGTAGTTCTACTCTGGGCCATGGCTCCTTCCCCCAGAATTTTCAAAAAGGGGAGGAAGGGGGTGGTGAGAGACTGGGAACGCCTTTCACAGGAAGACATGTGGAAACTTCTCATGAACCTGGAGGGACGCCTGGGCAGGGTAGGGACCAGCACAGGCAGCCTTAGCATCGCGTGCCAGCAGGTGTTAGCAGACCCAGGGAGGGCCTCAGGGATTACCTCACTCGAGGCCCACAGCACCAGCAGGTGAACTTGCCACAAGCCTGAGAGGGAGCAGCCCCAAGAGGCTAGGGCAAGGCCAAGGTAAAGAGGAGCTCCAGGGCCCAGCTGGGCTGAAAGAAGGACAGGCATGTTCTTGCTGGGGTCCTCCACGGGCTTCATCGGCCGTGCCTGGGACGGTGCTGTGTGCTGGCTGCAACCCACAGGCAGGGCCGGGCCGCTGAGTAGAGCCTGTGAGGAGACCTGGAGCCTGAGAGTGGGAGCTGCGTCTGCTCCCACACGTTCCCTTCAGGGAGCCATTCCAGTGACTGTGAGATGGTGGGCATGATTCTTGGCTTGAGGCTCTGGAAGAAGAGAAGGCTCCAAAGCCGGGCCCTGAAAGGGGGAGTCCCGACTCAGCAGGACCCAGTGGGGAAGGGAAGGCACAGGAGCCGTGAGTGCAAGTGGCTGCACATGCAGAGGGCTGTGCACCTGGGCTCAGAACCAAGGGGCACAGAGAGGGGAAGCCATTGCTCAGGACCAGGGACACCCAAGTGGGGGAAGGGAGACCCCATATTCCACAGAGAGAATGGCCTTCTGGACAAGCACCTTGAATTTAAATGTCTGCAGGACCCAGGGGGGCTGTATTATGAGCAAAACCTGTCAAAGAAGGGTGCATCTTCTCAGCTGCAGCTGATCCCTGCAATGTGAGAATGTGAACCCAACGCACGAGACCATGCACGCTGGGTTAAATATGGCCACCGGAGACAGGAAGCCCACCATCACAGTGGTTTAAAAATACAAGGGCCCTCTCACTGTCATGTGTGCCGGAAGTGACCGGCGCTGACACAGGAGGCTGCGGCTCTTCCATCTCGCTGCGAGGGGGTGGCCCTCACCCCCCTGATCCTGGGAGGAGGCTAGAGCTCCAGTGATTACACCTGTGCTCCAGGCAGCAGGAGGGAGGAAGGCGGGAAGGGCAAAGAGCCCATGTCAGTCATCGCTAAGGAGGTTTCTTAGAAGCTGTCAGAAGTGCTTCTAGATCTTGCTGGGAGGACTTAGACACATGGTTACCCTGGCGGTAAGGGAGGCTGGGCAGTGCTGCTGAACCTCTGGTTGCCGCTGTCCCAAGCTAAAAACCAGGTGCCCTGCGGCTGAAGGCAGCATGGCATTGCAATATGCAGCCAGCAATCACACACTCGCTGCCCTTGGACAGTTTGTCTGCCTCAAACACCACCTCACCTTCCCTGCAGGCAGTCCCTGGGACTCGGGGTGGTGATGGTGCAGCAGCCAGTCCGGAAGGCTGGCTCTCTGGGTCGTGTGCAGCCTCTCCAGCGGTCCCAGAGCCACAGCCCTGTGGGTGGTGGAGAGAGACAGCCGCCACCAGGAAGAGTCCTGCCTGGAGAAGGGCCAGGGCAGACCAGCCTGGTCTCCGGCAGGCTTTGTGGTGGAGGAAGCTGCGGCAGCCCATCTGGCTGGCCTAGCTCTGCTGTGGGCAGAACCCCATGCCCAGTGTCCCGGGGGAGGGTTCCAGCTCCCTTGGCAACAGGCCTCCTGCACAACTCAGTGGCTTTTAATCTGTTTATCGTGATGAGTCCATTGGCCTAAAAGGGCCCCATGGGCTCATCTGGTCACAGGTTTAGGGCAGCCTGGCCCTTCCATCTGCTCCTGCAGCGACATAGCTGCAGAAGGGGCGGTAGAAGTGGCGGGGGGGAGGGTGAGGCGGGGAGAGCAGTACCCTGGCTCTCTTACTTCTGACTTCCATGTAAAACAAATTAATTTTAAAATTCTGGAAAGTAATGTTTGAAAAGCATAATTCAGGGCAAATAAATATGCCCGTGTGGCAGATTGGGGTTGTGGTATGGAGCAAGGTGCTGTGGGTGGGGAGCTGGCGCTGTGGGTGGGGAGCTGGCGCTGTGGGTGGGGAGTTGGTGCTGTGGGTGGGGAGCTGGCGCTGTGGGTGGGGAGTTGGCGCTGTGGGTGGGGAGTTGGTGCTCTGGGTGGGGAGTTGGCGCTGTGGATGAGGCATTGGAATTGCATAGTCTAGTGTCCATGGAGAAGGCTCTGCACCAGCTCCTTTCACTTAGGCAGAGAAGTGGCCACACATCTGGAGGCAGAACTGGCCACAGCTGGAGGGACTTTCAGGCTGACTTCACACCCACACACTGGGATTGGGGAGGGGTCAGGACTGGCTCCAGGTCTGGGTGTCCAGGTGTGTGTCTGCCTGTGGAGTGTGGGGCGGTGCAGAGGGGGCCCCAGGCCCCAAGTGGGACAGGTGGTAAGTCCTTGCTTGCCCGCCCTGCAGACTCCACCAACCGGGACTCGCTGGACATGATCGAGCGCTGCATGTGCCTGGTGTGCCTGGACGCCCCGGCCGGCGTGGAGCTCAGTGACACCAACAGGGCGCTCCAGCTCCTTCACGGCGGAGGCTGCAGCCGGAACGGGGCGAACCGCTGGTACGACAAGTCCCTGCAGGTGAGCCGCCACCATGTGGCCAGTGGCCTGAGCCAGCACTGCTCACGTGGGGCAGACCTGCTGGCCGGCCTCTGCTGGCCAGGACACTGCATGCGGGGCCCAGGGAGCTGAAGGGGTTGGAGATGGGGCCTTGGTGTCAGCCCTGGACTGGCCAGGACTCCTCGGGGGCCGGTGGCCAAACCCCACTCATGCTCAGCAACCTTCCTGCAGCCTGTGCCATGCCGGTCCCCTGGGCAGCCCTGGGCTCTCCCCCTCCCACCACACACTGTAAGGTGGCCATCTGCCAGGGCCCACCAAACAAGTCCTCAACACATTCGACAAGAATCACATCTGATGCCCAGAGATTTCAGCGTTTCTGAGTTTCTGTCCCCTCGGCCTGGCCGCCGGACACACCTCCTTCATCCCTGGGAGATAGGGCAGCCCAGCATCTCCACAGAGGAAAAGCCAGAATAAAAGGAAGCAATTCCTTTTGTTTGTCATCGTATGACGTTAGCTCAGAAACAAGGCGCTCACCGTGGCCTGGAGAAAATGCTCATGCAGGCGGGGGGCGGGGGGCGGTTGGGCCGCTCATTCCTGTTCTCCCGTCCCTTTTGTCCAGCATGCCCACCCTAAACCGAACCCTGCTTGTTTTTAAGGCCACCGCACTGTCACCGTGACCTCATCACATAGCAGAGCGGTCTCTGGCTTCACATAGCGAGCATTCAGGCTCGTTTTGTCCTCCTCCACCCTGCGTTCCGCAGCTGCCCTCCTCGTGGGGGTGCCTACTGCCGCTGCTGCTTCCGACCTGCCCTCGCCGCTGCGCTGGCTGTCAGCCTTCACAGCGATGCTAATGGCTCGCCTTCCGCGGAGCAGCGGGGGAGGGAAATGATATAATGGGTGTACAGAACACGGAGCAGAGGCAGGTTGTTAAAAGGCACTGTTTGCTGCCTTTCTTTCAGTGGCAGGAACAGAAAAACATCCCTGTGTGAGTGGGCACCATACCCCCCCCCCCCCCCCCCCCCCCCCCCGCCTCATGTGGGGACCGGACCCACCTCTGCGTTCTGTCCGAAGGTGGGACAGGTTACCAGGCCAGCCGGAGAGCCCCGCTGGTTTCATGGGCAGGAACTGGGAGGACAGAGAGCATTCTTGGGACAGAAGGCCGGGGCACGGGGTGGGGGAGGGGAGAAAAGTGGGGAGCTTTGAGAGACTCTATGCCATGGAGTCTATGGGAAGGTGAAGACTGGGAGTGGAGATTGGGGCAGCTGACAGCTTGGCCCCCGGGGGAGCGGAGACAGTGGGCTCGGTGTGCTGTGTGTGTGTGCCCGGCAGGGTTCAGCAGCTCGTTCGCTCGCCTGGCTGGTCTCTGGAGTGTGGCCATGCGGGCTGAGCTGCAGGCGGCCCTGCTTTAATTGGGTTATTTGTGCGTTCCTCCCAGGGTTTTTGTGCAGAGCATGTCCCTTTCCCATGTCAGCTGACTACAGCTTTGTAAGATCATGAAAATTCATAAGTAACCCGCCCGGTTCCCATGGTCCTCCCATGTGCCTCCTCTGGAGCCTCATCTCAGTGCTGCACGCCAGCCTTGTCCGAGGCCGTCAGCCAAGAGCAGACAGAAGCCAGAGGAGGTGCCTGTGGCCTCTCCCGGCCGCGGTCCCCCCAGTGTGGAATCGGGTCTCTGAACACCTTTTCCTCTCTCCCACCGAGAGAGGTTTGATTTCTCCCCAGGCATCTGTGCGCCGTCCAGACTGGAGTGTTTCCTTTCATTCGGTCATCCCACAAAGTCACTGAGCACCTGCCATGGGGCAGACACTGGTCTAGGGCCTGGGCATAAAACCAGTGGTGCCCGAACACCAGGGCCACCCGGCACCCCTCACACAGTGTAGTTCAGGACGGTGTCCCTGCCACCGCTGTGAAGGGGCTCAGGGCTCACAGACGCTGAGGGAACGGGCCCATGACTGAGGCAGAGTGTGCCCAGCTGGTCAGGGCCCACTGGGACCCTGGGCAGCGCCTGCCCCGCCCAGAGCGTTTCTGGGAGGGCGCGCAGGCCAGTGCTGGGTGCAACGCCCAGTCTCGGGCCCTGGCAGCTGCATGCAGGGTTCTTTTCGGGAGACAAGGGCCTCAAGAAGGGGTTCCCTGCGGTGGCCAGGGGCCCGGCCTGGAGCCGGAGGACAGGTGTGAGATGCTGATGCCCAGAAGCCCGCTCACATCTCTTCCTTCACGCAGTTCGTGGTGGGCAGGGACGGCACCTGCGGCGTGGTGTGCGAGCACTCCCCGTTCGACGGCATCGTCCTGGTGCAGTGCGTGGAGCACCTCCTCAAGCACATGTGAGTCTGGAGGGAGGGCCCCCTGCAGCCCGGCGCCATGCCAGACTGCCCCGCGGCCAAGCGGCCCAGGAAGGCGGGGGGGGGGGGGGGGGGGGGGGGGGGGGGGCAGCAGGAGCTGCATAAGCCTGGAAAGCATCTTAGCAAAACTGGATTTGCAAACCAGCTTGAAAGGGACATTTTATGCTTTACCAGCCATGGACAGAAGGGCTGGTTTAGGGCAGTTAGGGAGAGGCTAATTAGAAACATCTTCAGTCCAGGGAGACCCCATCCACCGTACTGTGTGCCCCGAGTCCCGGGTGGGTGGACTGAAGACCCAGCATGGAGGAAGGGCTGTAGCTACCCCTCCTGCCGTCCGTCGGCTGGGCCGCCCTCCCTAGCCTTCGAGCCAGCCGGACTAAGGGCTTCGCTGGCCTTGAAACACACCGCGTTCCTGCTCCGTTTACGGCTTTGCTCCTTCTCTCCTTCTGGAACCTTCTCCCTAAATCTAAGTTCTAAACTTCTTCCATGATGTGGGGGCTCTTTAGGGTCACTGGAAACCCAACCAACCCTTGTAAACACAGCAGCCCAGTTTGTTTCAGTTTATCTCCAAATGTTTTATAATTGTTAGTGGTATGTGTAGTTGAACAGGAAAATGCAACATAATAATAATAATAATAATAACACAACAACAACAACAACAATAATATTTGGCTTTGGACTCGGGTGGAACTGGAGGGACTCTGGCCTGCCACTTGCTAGTCTGGGTGGCCTCGGAGCCTCACTCTCCCTCAGGCAGTGGCAGGGCAGCTCCTGCCACTGCCCCTCCGGCCGCTGGGGTGGCGGGACACAGAGGCCCCGAAGCTGCTGCCGCAGCCCCAGCTCAGGCTCGGAGGCCCCTCTCTGCCTGCAGGATGAGCAGCAAGAAGCTGGTCCGCGCCGACTCCGTCAGTGAGCTGCCGGCCCCCCGGAGGCTGCGGTGGAAGTGCTCCCCCGTGATTCAAGGCTTCTTAGCCTCCTCCGCAGAAAAACTCCAGCGGTAAGGGAAAGCCGGGCTCCTGCAGGGTGGTGCTCCGGGGTTACCCCGTGTCCTCCTTCCTGTCCTGGCTGCTGAGCACCCCGCTCCTCCGCCCCACCCCACATGGAAATGTAGGCAAAGTGAAGGGGAGCCATAACTCGGGGGGAAATGACCTTGCTGACAGACCCATCATTTCCATAAAATGCAAACGCGCAGCTTTTTTCCAAGGGTTCTGCCCGCCTGAGCAGAGCCAAGGCGGGGACCCCGTCCCGTCAGAGGAGTAGTGAACACTGGTTTGAATAGTTCATTTGAATCCCAGCTACTTCCCTTTGCTTGAGTTTACAGGGCAACCTGATAAGGGAGCTCCCGTTCCCAAGGGCAGTGCAGCCGCCAGTGTAGCCTGTGCCAGGCCTATGCTGAGACTCTGAGGACACAGGTCCTGTGCCAGGCCTGCCCCCCAGATTCCGTGGGGGGAGTGGACCCCCCAGCAAAGGTGTGTGATGCAGTCACCCAAACCCACAGGACACGGGCTGGATTCCGCCAGGATGTGAGGGAGGGCTTTGCCACGGGTCTGGCAGGATGGAGAGGAGTCTGCAGGCAGCTGGGAAGTGGTGGGTTCATTAAAGATCCAGCAAGAGAGGATGGCCAGAGGCGGGAGCCACATTGTCCAGAGCTCCGCGCTCCTCACGTCACAGGCTGGACACTGTGAGGAGCCCTGGAGGACGGTGTGCAGGGGTTTCCGAGAGCCAGGGAGGAGCCTGTGGGAACAGGGTAGGTGAGCTGGATAGACTGTGGCTGGACTCGGAGGCCGAGTGGTAGGGAGGACAAGTTAGCTCACTGGGAGCTGCTGGGGAGGTTGGCCGGCCTTCGTGGGGGAGGGGCAGTCACCATTCATCTATAAGGTGGTGCTGATATCTCAACCTTGGGCAGCCGTGTGGGCACAAGCAGAGCACTAGGAGGGCGAGCTGGTTGCTGAGCCCTGGGAAAGGGGAGAACTGCTCACTTTTAGGGGGTTGAGCAGGATCCTGAGGCCCCCAGCTGCTCTCTGGAGGACCTGAGGAGCCAGAGGCCCGTGCGTGGGCAAACAGGAGGGTCCTGAGCTGCACACGAACAAGAATGGGGTCCGAGTGGGCATAGTCTGGGCAAAGGTTTCCAGGGGGCTGTGGTGACCGTGAGCTCAGCCTGTGTGGGGCCGGTGAGTCAACGGGCCAGACGTTCCTGTGGGAGCGGGCTCTCTGCGTTCTGAGTCCCCAGACCTGGCGTGGCCCCACCGAGAGCTGAGGCCGCGCGTGGCAGGAAAACGTTCCCAGGGGGCAGGCAGGAGCGCCAGGTCCAGAGGGAGCGAGTGTGAGAGGGACCAAGGCTGCCCCCAGGGCTCTGCTGGCACGTGGCTGGTGGGTGTGTGGTGTGGACCTTGCTGACCTCTGCTCCAGGGGGCAGTCAGCCTGGACCTCATGCTCATTATGAAGGAGGAGACTGGTCATTAATGGGCAGCAGGAAGGGAGAGACCTGTGGCCACAGTGGGGGCAGGAAGGGAGAGGCCTGTGGCCACACTGGGGGCAGGAAGGGAGAGGCCTGTGGCCACACTGGGGGGCAGAAGGGAGAGGCCTGGGGCCACACTGGGGGGCAGAAGGGAGAGACCTGGGGCCACACTGGGGGCAGGAAGGGAGAGACCTGTGGCCACACTGGGGGGCAGAAGGGAGAGGCCTGGGGCCACACTGGGGGGCGGAAGGGAGAGGCCTGTGGCCACACTGGGGGGCGGAAGGGAGAGGCCTGTGGCCACACTGGGGGGCGGAAGGGAGAGGCCTGTGGCCACACTGGGGGGCAGAAGGCAGAGGCCAGCGCTCAGGGTTCAGTGTAGACTCGGGAACCTTCCTGCTGCTCTGACAATGACTCATGGGCATCACGGGCTGGGTGTGGCATGGAGCGGCAGCAGCAGCCTCTGGGTGAAATGGGTTTTAGTCACCGGCAGGCAGCCTTCATGGCAGTGAGTGACCCAGGGCAGCAGGGGTGCGTCTCAGAGAGGAGTGCGACACACCGCCATCTGAGAAATGGGCTTTTCCCTGGACACAGAGGGTCTGTGGTCTGGCAGAATGGCCAGGATGCCAAAGGAATCCATGGGGAAGCTGGACACACCTTCCCAACACGTCAAATGAATGGCCTCTCCCAGCCTTACTTCTGCAGAGCTGCTAAGATTGTGTTTGATGGCCGTGTCCTCCCTGCCATGCAAATGCCTCTCCTGCCCCAAGTCCCTCCCTGCAGCCAGGCAGGCCATCGTCCACCCAGCCACGCCCCGCCTTCAGTGGAGAGTGACCCTGGCCCAGCATGCCCGGGGCCACACTCCGTTCCTGCAGGCCGAGCGCTGTCCTGGACCTCAGAGTGCTGGCACAGTGCAGGCTCAAGAGACGTGGTGAGACGGGGATGTGCGCATTCTGTTTTGCATGAAATCAAAGCATCTTTTCTCTTTTCCTCAGAATAGTAAAGAATCTTGACTTCGTGGTGTATAAGTTTGACAACTACGGGAAGACGTTCATTAAGCAGCAGAAGTGCAGCCCCGACGCCTTCATCCAGGTGGCCCTCCAGCTGGCCTTCTATAGGTGAGCGGAGCGCCCGGGGCTGGCAAGCTGCTCTCTCGCCAGACTCTACAGCCTGGAGAGAGGAAGGCCCCTGTGGGCTGGAGGTGGGCAGAGGGCAGGGCACCTTGGATGGAGGTGCCGCCTAACAGGGTTTCAAGGTATCAAACCTCCTCAGGAGGGGGAAAGCTGTCCCAGCCGGGCAGGTGCCTGAGCCACGGCCAGGGGCACAGTGCAAAGGCAGGAACGAGCCAACAAGGCCAGGCCGCCGGCAGGGGATGTTGGGGTGAGAAGGTGCACCTCCTCCTGAGCTCACCCAGTCCACCTGGTCCCTGTGGCTGCAGTACCACTCCCGTTTTTCTGGCCTCAATAGTGAAATGGAGCTAGCATCCCTCAGGGGGTCAGGTCAAAGGTTTAGGACTCAGCCTTGGCTCGTCCCTGTCTCTCGTCCCCCACCACGTCGGTTATTGTCCATGTGTCTCTTTGCCCTTCACCTCCACCCCCTCCGCCTCCGTGGGCCCCTCCCCAGCCCCTGCCATCTCATGCTTGGCCAAGTGCAGCATACTCCCTGGGCCTCTGCCTCCCACTCGGCTCTCTAGATCCTATCTTCATAAAGCGTGATGTTGGAAATACGCAAACCAGATTCTCTTTTACCACCTTGCACCTTCCCAGCGGCTTCCCACAGAGCCCAGGCTTAGAAAGCTCCTGTGAGCGGCCTCATCGGGCGTCCTCCCCCAAGCTCTCCCGTCTCTGGACCTTTGCTCTGGCTGCGTCTCTGCTGATTCACACGTCACCACTGCTCTTCTCCTGCCAGCTCCTGCCCACCACTCAGGGCCTCATGTGACCCCTTCTCTAAGGCGTGCCCCTCAGGCCCCTTGCCACCCAGTCCTCGGTCAGACCACGTGTCTCTTTTCCTTCTGTGGCATGTGATTCGTGTGAACTACCTTGTCCACTGACGTGGGGACTTTGTTTTCTAGACTGCCCCTCCCAAGCACGACTCGCTGGGCACCTGGCACACCTGGCACAGAGTAGGCATCAGGTGCTGAGTCTAACATGAGGAGACACATGTGAGCGTCAGCTAGGGGTGGTTCGGCCAGGTCTGTGATTCAGGAAATCCTTTAGAGGGTGTGGAGTGAGGGCTGAGGGCAGAGTGTAGAGCACATGTGTCAAACACAAGGCCCGCGGGCTACAACTAACACACAGAGTAGATCTTCCTCCAAGGCTGGCCCAGGGCTCAGGGCTCCAGGGGGACAGCTCAGAGGCTGGCATGACGGCGAATGGCAGGCGGCCATCAGATCTGCTTCCGGTCTGCAACGTCCAGGGAACACGAAGTGGCCCTGTCTAAAGCTGAGCGAGGCAGTCTCAGCAATGAGCAGGCAGCACCTTTGGGTCCTGGTGTCCCCTGGGCCATGACTCCTGGGGGAGGGAGCAGCACCTCTGAGCATCTGTCTTCTTAACTCACTGGGGAAGTCTGGTGTCACCCCATTGCCGGGACACAGACCTTATCCCCATAGACCTGGGGCAGGACCTGTGTCTGGAACTGTAGTCAGTGTCATTCTGATACTCCCTTAGCAATGGCTGAAATGGGCCTTGAGGCCAGGGTCCTGCCGGAGCCATGGCTGCCCCCACTTCCCATCAGTGAGCACTTCAGACCTTCAGATCCTGCACAGAGCACCCCCTCCTCATGAAACCATTGCTGTCACCGGACCTGGGCAGGAATGGACGTGGCCAGAGGCTCAGGGGCTCATGAATAGCTAAAACATGGAGAGCATTCTTCAGAGTCTAAGCTTCAATGAATTAAAAACAAACCAAAAAAAATCTGCTCCTGGATTCAGTGAGAACCTGGAAGCTGCCTCCACTGAGGCTGAGCAGCACCCAGCCAGCGAGGGCGTCTGTTTGCCTCCGGGGGGCGTGGGGATAAGGGACTGAGCGCCCTGCCCGCCTCTTGGGGAATGAGAGAGAGGGCCATGGAAGCCTATTCACTTGCTCAAGCAAACGGAGCCAAGCACTGTGCCCACTCGACGTGGCCTTCCGCCCTCCTGGAGGCCACCCAACGTGGAAGAGACGTACCCCAAGGAGGCCGAGACCCAGGGCCGTGGCTTGCAGTGATTTGGGCTGTCACTGCTCTTCTCAGATCTGTGTCTTTCCCTTCCCCAACCCAAACCAGGACTTGACTGACTAGTAAAGAAAGGTGTGTGCCAGCCAGGTCCGCAAGCGCAAGCCTGGGGTGCTGGTCCGAGCCTAAAGAAGAGGGGCCCCTGGCTGTTGGGGGGAGCGGCCTGCTGTCCTGTCCTGTCCAGAGGAGAGGCACACCCAGGGTGCCCAGGGTCTGTTGGGAGCCCAGCTGCTTCTGGACTTCATACCCATGACCACTGAGGCCCCTCCCTGCCGCCATCCATAGTTCATGTGTGAATTGTTTTAAATAAAGCAGGATTCTCTCGGGGGCGTGAATGATTAATTACACAATTATTCTATTCTGTGCTATTAATCAAAGATTCATCAGGTCTTGCAGAAAATTCTAGGTTCCCCACTAGGTTGGGGTTTTTTACAGCTACTTTGTAGTTTGTTTTACATCTGAGCATCGTCACCGCTGCATGGAAATGTACAAGTTCTTACTGTTAGCGACTCGGGCATTCATCTTGGGAAACCTCCTAGAACTCTATTAACATTAAAATGAAATACGCTGCCAAGCAAAGCCAGGATGTGAAACCAGAGCCAGCGGCTGTCCTCCTCCTGTGCTTCTGAGTCCCGGAGGATGCATCAGCTTTGCACTCATCACATCCCTTGTCTGTGCAGGCTCCATTGCAGACTCGTGCCCACCTATGAGAGCGCGTCCATCCGCCGCTTCCGGGAGGGACGGGTGGACAACATTCGATCGGCCACCCCCGAAGCACTGAGGTTTGTGAAAGCCGTCACAGACCACGAGGCTGCTGTGCCGGTAAGCCCCGCTCGTCTGAGGGGTCTCGAGGGAGCCGCCCCTTCGGCCTGCTCCTCACACCCACATGCTTCATGCCTGGTCTGTGTGCAGGATTCCGAAAAGCTGCTGCTCCTGAAGAATGCCATCCGCGCCCAGACGGAGTACACGGTCATGGTGAGTGCCAGTGCACAGGTCGGAGGGTGCCCAGGCTCTGCCATGCCTGAGCACGTGACCATGGGCTGTGCTCATAGTACGGGCCCATAGTACGGGCCGGGTGACAGCTGAGTCACCGACTGTCCAGCTACTTGGAAGGCCACCTGCCTCTCGGAACCTCCTCCTCCTTATTTTTAGAGCCTAGGTAACACTCCACTTCTCTTTCCCCAGGGATTTCGTGAGGATACGATGAATGGTCTTTGAAACCAGAACAATAATAACAGCACCAAATATGCAGAGCAATTTCTACTTTATACAAGAGAAGTCGAATGCCAGGGGATTGCACTGGGCCTGGAAGCTGGAGTGGCCTGCACGCCATGGCCAGTCACAGGCCGGCAGCAGCAGCCCCACCCACGGCTGATTTGCTTTCTTATTCTCCATGCTTTATTTATGCTGCCTGTAAATACGGAGTCAGTGAAAATTAATAGTGACATTAAAGTTGTAAGGGAAATGTTTCCCTAGTTTAGAGAAATGATTTATTTTCTAGCACTGCAAGCCAGCATACAAACAATGGAGAATAAGCTAGGGCTGGTGATCAATACATTAATTGCAAACCATTCTGATACAGCCTTTGAAAAGAAGTTGACCAGATTTCACTCTATATCATTGAAAGCAAGTGCAATGCAAATCCGGGTTTTAGAACTAGTCAATGTAGACCTTTCTCCTCTTCAGCATGCGTATCCTCTAGCATAGGTCCCTAATTCCTCCCAAGAATGGAGTGTTTGTTCTGTTTGGGAAAAGCAACCTCACTCTCATGCATCCAATACGTATTTTTTGGTTTCTCCTTTATGCCAGATAGAGTGCTGGGTGCTGGGAAATAAAAAATGCAGCTTGTAAATCCCGTCATTAGGGAGTTTCCTGAAGACTTCCTGGAGGAGGTGGAGCTTAATATGAGATGTGAAAGATGAGGTTCTGGTAACAGACATAGGACGGAGGATGGCCCAGAAGGGAGCAGCCTGTGCAGAGAAGTCGTGAGGGAGCAAGACACATCGGAGGAAAAGTGATGAGCTCAGTGTGTGCACACTGGCAGCCATTCTCACTCCCCTACTCATCTTTTCAGGGCTTTATCCTCAAATATAAACAATAGCCACAAAACAGAACTAAGAAAGTCACTGAGTTGAATTGGTTCAGGGCCTATGAAATAGCAGCCAACATTCAGGAACAGATCTTTTTTTTTTAAATATATTTTATTGATTTTTCACAGAGAGGAAGAGAGAGGGATAGAGAGTTAGAAACATCGATGAGACAGAATCATCGACCAGCTGCCTCTTGCACACCCCCTACCGGGGATGTGCCCGCAACCGAGGTACATGCCCTTGACCGGAATCGAACCCGGGACCTATCAGGCCACAGGCTGACGCTCTATCCACTGAGCCAAACTGGTGCCGGCAGGAACAGTTGTCCTGCCGGCACCGGTTTGTCTCTGTCCTCATTCCTCGGGCTCCACTGGAGGCTAAAGCGTTGGTTGTGGTGAGAGTCTGCGCAGTGCCAGCCTGGGCATCCCTCGCCAACCTTGCATGGGCCTGGGCCCTGCACTCGGCCTTCTACCCGAGAAGGAGTAGGATGGCCAGGCCAGCACCTCCTTTCCCTTAGAGCCCTGAGGGGCTGTAATGGTACAGTCAGCAGGACCCCGGGAGGGGACTCACCCTGGGGACATAAAAGTGCACGAGGGCCCGAGGAGCAGAGGCCACGTGGCAAAGCGGTCAGCCCTGGGCAGCTGCCCACACACTGCCCCCTGCAGGCCCTGCGTAGCCGTGGCCATTGGAGTGCCGCTTAGCACTGTGGGTAGAGAGGAGGGGGAAGGCACGTGGGAGCCCATGCTCACTTCCTGTTCTTTGCTCCTTGCCGCCCAGGCCATCACAGGGATGGCCATCGACAACCACCTGCTGGGGCTGCGGGAGCTGGCTCGGGACGTGTGCAAGGAGCTGCCGGACATGTTCACGGATGAAACATACCTGATGAGCAACCGATTCATCCTCTCCACCAGCCAGGTCAGCCCTGCGGTGCCCGTCGCCCAGGAAGCACTCAGTGTCACGGGTGGGCTTTCTAAAGAGCCTGGTGAATAGGGCCCTGGCTGAAGTCAGGCGAGTCCCACATCTGAATCTCACGAGCTTTGTGACTTTCTGCAAAATGACCTAATGATCAGAGCACAGGGTGTCATCTTCTAAATGACAGGCGCCCCCTGAGCAGAGGTGGACAGGACAGGAAGCACCCATTCTGGTGCCCTAACCATTACACTACTGCCTGTCAGTCTGCTGCCTCCCAAGCCCGGCAGGCCTGGAGGGAAGCCTGGCTCAGCCAGGTGCAGTGACGGAGGTGCAAAGCCCGCCCAGAGCCTGGCCGACAGGGCCCTCCAAGCGGGACCCGGCTATTGTTATAAAGGCCGTGCGACCGCTGCAGGCGGGAGCTGCCAGCCCGGCGGCTCCCAGCAGCACCGCAGGCTTGTCCTGCGGAGGATCACTGTCAAAGACAGGGAGGGTGAAATCATTCCAGAAAGGCCGCCGTTTAGGAGAGAAAGTACCCCCTCCCACCCCCGATACATCAATTCGCTAAAAGTAACCTCATCTGTGAAAGGCTGGGCATGGGTGGTAAAGGCGCGCATGGCGTGAGTGAGTGAGGATGAAAGCCAGGCAGTGATTTGATTTCCTCATTACTGCGGTGAGCTCACTGGCGTGGCTGAACGAGGGCAGAAACAACATAAATTCTTCAGGAAGCCGGCATGGGCAACAAGTGCTTTGGCATGGCTTTCTGGCCTGCGGCTGCCGCCTGGCAAATGTATCTGACAAGGAGGGGACTCTATTAGCAGGACTAATGGTGCGTTCTGCCCATTAAAAACAAAACCAAAAAAGAACAGTGTCATTTCTGAAGGCCCGAGCACACAGTGCCCAGACCTGCAGGGTTAAAACAGACCGCCCCGCACCTGCCCCCGAACGTGGTCCATTCCCCCCCCAAGACACGCTAATTAAGCCAAGGGGCCGAGGTGGGTTCTTTCCATTGGAAATGAGCGTTTATGACTTGAATGCCTTCGGAAACACATTTTCTGGGTTTGTGATCCGGATTACAAAATCTCAACGCTCTGAATTAAAAACATATTAGGTGCCTAGCTAAGTCTCCAATTGATGGCAAACTCTGAGACACCAGTGCTGGGTAACTGTGCGTGGCCAGGCCACGGGGGGAAGGATCAGACGGGCCACGCACCGCCGACAGTAATTAAGGATGCCGGATCGACAGAGGCGACAGGCAGCCTTCCTCCGGCTCGTCAATTACCCGCTCTGGGAGGCCGCTGCGCCAGAGGGTGTCTCCGGGGGGCCATTTAGGAAATTACCCTGATTGCCTCGGTGCCTCCAACGGCCCCCAAGTGAGAGAGACTCAGCCGAGACCCAGCGGCAGGTGCGGCTGGCAGCCCCTGACGCCGCGCAGAGCAGATTTCACACCAGGGAGCGGCTGATGGCCCGCTTCTCCTGGCGAGATGGGCTTGTTGTTAGCACTCTGACCATGGCCATCAGCTGACGCAGGCGGTTGGTTTGGTTAATTCAGTCAAACCCGCCCGGGTGGGAAAGAGTCAGAGAAGCAAATAGCCCTCGGAGGCCCCGGGCCAGACGCCCTCCCTCCAGCAGGCTGGTGGCCTTCCGGAGCCAGGCTGCTGACCTGTCCTCTCCCCAGGTGCCCACCACCATGGAGATGTTCTGCTGCTACGGGCCCGTGGTGCCCGACGGGTACGGCGCCTGCTACAACCCCCAGCCCGAGAGCATCCTGTTCTGCGTCTCCAGCTTCCACAGCTGCCCGGAGACCTCCTCCGCCAAGTTCGCCAAGGCCGTGGAGGAGAGCCTGGCGGAGCTGGGCCGCCTCTGCAGCCCGCCCCAGCCTGCCGCCGCCAAGAAGGAGAAGTGCCACCAACCGTGACTCCCGCCGCCACGTCCCCTCTCCCAGCCTAGCTTCCTGTAGCTGCCAGACCCTGCTGAACCCCGCTCCCACCCTCACCCCAGCTTTCCGCAGCTCCCCCGTCCTCAGGGCCCAGCACAGCACAGTGAGATGCCCCGGGGGCTGAGGGTCTGCAGGAGAGTGTCCGCGTGGACAGGAGTGTCCTTAGCCACAGACGGCGGCCGGCCCAGCACTGACAGCACCGCACAGGAGCCCCGCCTGGCTCAGAGGGGCGGGCGAGGTGGGACGTGCACACTGACTCCCCTCCACTCGCTGCCAGCAGGACCTCGCATGGCTGGGTCATGTTTTTGCCCAACGGGAGGAAGAATGAGTCGCCTTTTTTAAGTGCAATGTACCTAGTGAGTCATGAGGGAAGAGGCTAATTCAGGTCACTGCCTCTGCGGGTAGAAGTGGGGGCTTTGTTTTCAGGCTCAAAGCGGTCTGATCATACACAGGGCCTGGCTGAGCTTGCATTTAGCGGGGTGCGTACTCCCTCCCCGCACAGCCCGAGTTCATGTAAAACAGCGACCTGGGCCCAGGAAGGCACTGCCTCTGCCTCCGGGGCAGCCTGCCCTGGAGCTCAGCTTCTGACCCGGCTACTCTGGAGGGAAACCCCTGCCTCCCAGAGCCCGGCAGTCCCGGGGAAACACTCAGGCCAGGGCAAGCCGGCGGGGGGGGGGCGCCAGTCCCTGCCCACGGACCCTGCTCTGTTGCTTTCTCACTCCCCTTCGTTCAGAACATGCCCCGCTGTGGGATCTGCCTTTTAGAGGAGACGGTTGCGCTGGGAGTTATCTGTTGTTTATTCGTTTGCTTTATTCATCCTTAGAGAGGCTTTTAGGAGCACTGCTGCGACATCATTTCAAGGAATAATCTTGGTGGCCCAAGCGGGACATCCGTGGAGGATGCTGTCCAGGGATTCTGGCTAAGCCCACGGAGAGGGCCTGGGGTAGGGCGCTCATGGTCTCAGGCCCGTCCAGAGCCAGCCCTGAAGGAGGGGCAGACCGTCCACTGAGGCCTGGGTTTCGGGTTGAGGACTTAGTGGGAGATTCCAGCACTGCCCACCAAAGTCACTGGTCTGCAGGTGCTCGCTCCTACCCTCAGACATCACCTGCCTGCTCCCCGGGGAGTGGCAGCAAGTCTGGGGAGCACCTGGAGCTGCTGACCCCCCCACACACACACACCCCCACACACACCCCCACCCGTAAGCAGACCCAGAGCCACTGGTCCGTCCTCACCAGGACCCCCTGCCTACTGCGTTCTCTTCTGGTTTCCCTCCAGGGATTCTGGGCAGACAGGGCAATGGCCGGGGCTCAGGGAGCCTGTCACAGGGACAAGCATCCCCAACCCCGTGAGGCTGAGCGGATGGTAGCTCCTGTGTGTGAGGCGCTTGCACAAGCAGGTGGGCGTTGGTGCCCACAGTCAGGATGCGTGTCCCCAGAGGGCACTGTTCGAGGGATATTTATTTCAAACTTTTCATACTGACCTGACAGAAGCAAACTCACACCGGCCACTCTGAGCTGAGGGAGGAGGCCGGCTGCATAGTCAGGCAGCAGTGGCTGGGGCTCTGGGGGGTGTAGGGCCGTGCGGCCGAGGGTCCTCGCCGGGGAGGGCTGGGAGCTGGTCTCCCGCCTCCAGGCTCAGGCCGGTGCACAGAGTCTTGATGCAAAGGCGACGGTGAGCCATGGGCATGGGCATTGCTGTGGGGACCCCGGAAAAGGAGACCTCCCCAGAGAGGTGACAAATGAAACCGAGAGACAGTCATTTGGGGGGCAGTGCTGCATCATAAAAGTGTATCTGGCCACCTTACAATACCGCTATGTTGCCAAAATATGTCATTATTTGAGTTCTATTTTTATAAGATAGTTTCAGATTTATGGCAATAATCACATGTGCATTTATAGCCTTTCCATTCTAAGTTATAGTTTTGTGCTTTAAATAAATAAATATATATATATATATGACTAAAGAACTGTATATTTAAACACTATATTCAAATTACTTTAAAGACTGTAAGTCTGTATTCAATAAAAAGCAATGCCAAGAAAGATGGTGTTGGCCTTTGTTTCTTCCCAGAAATGCTATTAAAATGTTGGCATAAGTCCTGTGTGCTGGGTCAGCAATTCATTAGCCTTTGTCTGAGGTCTGGCCCAGCAGAGGTGGGGGTCCAGGTACGGGGACGAAGAGGGGGGGGGGAAGGAGCTTTGTCTTCCCTGGTGAGGGGCTGTGGCACCCACCCTGGGGCTGCTGCGGGGCAGCGAGGCTGCCTGGGTGTTGTGACCAGGGTGCTTGGTGTAGAGCTGGGGCCTCCACTTACGCCCGCACACGTGCAGAGGTACAATGGAGTGGAGGGAAGGCACCAGGCACGGAGGCGGGAGCCTGAAATAGGAACCCAGCTCTGTCTCTAACTTACCATGGGCTCTGGGGTTCTCGTTTCACCTATCTAACCCTCAGTTTCCCCATCTGTAAAATGGGGATGTTGAGATCAGCACTACCCTCTTCCAGGATTGTGATGAGATGACATAAGATGGTCATTGTATGAAAACTTAGGAAGTGAAATAAAAAGCTAGCATTCTTATTGCAGGCTCACAGGAACCTGTGCACACAGGTGCCCTCCGCCTGCAAAACCCTGATACATTCCGAGCTGCAAAACCTCTGTAATCCTCAAAACCAGAACTGGAATTCCTCCAAACAGAAGCCCCGCACTCCCCAGGCAGAGCCTAAAAAGACCCTCAACGTGTATGATTTATGTGACTGGGACGCGGAAAAGGCATTATCCGAAAAGATACGGTTAGGATGTCCCAGGCGAATGGAATAGGAAGGCCCAGGATCTAAGTAACCTGGGTTTGCTCTTCCCCCACATATCACAGCTGGCCCAGAAATAACCAGATGCAGACCACTGAGAAGAGCATGACCATCAGCATACAAAATGTGCCAGGCACTCGTCGTCTCTGGCCTGGGCAGAGATGTTGGTCAATACATGTAGAAATGCAGGCAAGAGTCCTTCCCAGTCTCACAAGAGGAACCAGAAGTTTCCAAATTACTCCTAAGCAGTGTGTCCCCCCCCCACCCCCTGTCGGAGGTCAGGTGGGGGGAATCAGTGTCTGGTTTCCTGTATAGATCGCCCATTTCCGGCTTTGTGTCTCTGAGTTGTCCTTTAGAGTGAGCAGGATGAGCCATATGCCACCCCAGGGAGAGCTGGCCTCCCACCGTGAAGAGGACCTTTCTCAAAGCTCTGGTCTCTGCAGACAAGGACCAGCTCTCTCCCTGTTCCTTTCCTACTGCTTCTTCCCTCTCCATGTGGGATTTCACTTCCTAGTTCTGTACCTTAAGTGTCATGGGCCCCAGGATTCTGTGTTTGGTCTCTAATTTCTTATATTAAAGGAGCAGAAAACTAGCCAGCTGAGCTGATGCAGATGGACCCCTGCCCCTATAAAAACCATACAAATAAAGAGAAAATTCTTTTAAACATATAGATCACTTTGAGAAAGAAGTCCTCACACGCCAGGAAAAAAAGGGAGATGTGCAACACAGAGCAGTGAGCAGGGGCTAAAGTAAATACAACCAGACACAGACTTTAAGACAAAGGGCATAGCCCCAGCCCCTGCAAGGTGGGAAAGGCAGCCAAACTCCCCACGTAAGGCCATAACCTCAGAGAGGCATCCAACCCTACATAAAGGATTACAAACCTCTTCCCGTCAACCCAGGGGAGCACTGAGAGACCATGCCATTCACTCAGAGCTGTGGGTAATGGAAAAAATACATCAATGAGAAATTAAACTATAAACTTGTGTCAAATGTGGGTGTGGAGTCTGAATTTATACAAGTTAAATGTAAAGCTGGAATTACAAGCCAATAATGTTCTTTAATTGCCTGGGTCAATAAGACCCAAAGGATCTCAGAAGAAGCAAATGCAAAACCACTTTCCACAGCCATGAGCACCACAAACACCCACAGGGGGAAAATACTCCATTAAAGATGAGCTCACAATCAAAACATACTAATGGCCTAAGACAGTGTTTCCCAAAGTGTGGTACGCGAACCCCCAGGGGTACGCGAAGAGTTTGGTGGGGGTACGCGTTGCACCGGAGTTTGGTGGGGATATGCACTGCACCGTGCTTAGCTGCACCTAATTCTACGTTCTCATGAGTACGAGGGGTACTCAGCGTTACGAAAATTATAGAAGGGGTACGCATATGTCAAAAGTTTGGGAAACACTGGCCTAAGAAATGGCTCACTGGAGGACAAGTGGCAGATAAAACAAAAGGGGAAATTAACATCATAAAGAGGGGAGATAATAGATGGCTCAAAAAAAGCTATAAAATTGATGTTTAACATTAAAAATAAAAAATAAAATAGAGAGAAGATACACGTAGGCATTCAAAAGGGAACCATTAGAGAGAATGGGGGTAGGGGAATGCAGGAGTACTGTCCTAAGAGAAAATGGCTGAGAATATTCCACAGAGAAACGCATCTTTCTAAAACTCATAGTTCAAAGAAAAAAATAATACAATTCTAGAATTTAGAGCAGAATGATAATAAAGATACCTCATATCAAAACCTCTGGAATATAACAAAAGTCATGTTTTCAGGGAATTTTTTTTTAATTTGAATAAACATTTATTACAAAAAAATAGTAGACTTAGATCTTAACATGTCCTCATATTTAACACGTTTAATATTTTCTTCTAAAATATCATAGCAAACATATTAACATATATAAAAAGTATTTAAAAGATAGAAATACCATTCCAGTGAACATAAGACTTAAAAACAGAAACAACTTTTAAAAAAAAGAAAATTTACAAAATTATACAAAACAGGCTGAACATAAAACACTGATATGCAGTTACTGAGAAGATACTGGCTTTAGTTATTTCCAGGTGATGGAAGCAGTCTGATATGTCAATCCAGGAAATATATGCAATTATTGGTTAGCCTTAGAGGTACTACATATAAACATTAAAAAAATAGTCATGCAAAACTAATAAACCTGGTAACTTCTCATTTACCAGATATTTTGAATACCTAAAAGATTTAAACATATCATATGATCTTAAAGGAAACTCTTAAAATCATACAATATAATGGAATTAAACTTTTTAAAGTGGAGGATATAGAGGTAGACCTCTTAGAAAAGTTTCCCTACTTGACTTGAGTTATTAAAACCAAAGCTGCCCTGGCCAGGGTGGCTCAGCTGAATGCAGCATTGCCCCATGCACTTACGGTCACCGGTCAAATTCCCAGTCAGGGCACATGCCCATGTTGCTGGTTTAAACCCTGGTTGGGGCATGTATGGGAGGCAACCAATTGATGTTTCTCTCTCTCTCCCTCTCCCTTCTTCTCTCTAAAATCAATGAAAATACAACATATACAGTGAGGATTAAAACAAAAAACAAAGCCGTTTTCTTAATGTCCTCAGCTTCTTAACTAAGACCCAAATAGTTTAATTCTATCAGCTAAATTTAATCAAAGAGTTGACTTTTTAAACATAATAC